CCTTTTGAAGACTTTACTGGTGGATCCAGCAATGTCTGCCTGACATGGAGCATCCACCTCTGTTGATGGCCAGAGCATTTACACGGTATCAGTGTGCAGGGTTCTTTGTTTGTCTGTGTATGTATGTCTCTGTATGCCTATCTCTGTTTCTTTATGTCTGTGTATGTATTTCTGTGAGTGCCTGTGTCTGTATGAATGTATGTCGGTGTTTGTACGACAATGTACCTGTATGTGTAGATTGTATGACTGTGTTTGTTTGTGTGCCTTTTATGACTGTGTGTCTGTATATCTTTGTGACTGTGTGCCTGAAAAATTATGTCTGTGTGCTTGTATGGTTGTGTGTCTGTATGTTTGTGTATTTGTGCATGTATGTATTTTTGCCTGTATCTATGTCTATGTGGGAGAAAAAGAGAGATAGATAGGGGCTGGCGGGGAAGTAAGAAATACATAAGAGGGGTTGTAGGAGACACACTAAAGGGGGGTGTAAGGCACAAAGGGGCCAAAGGGGTAAGACATTCAAGAGAGTGGATATGCAACACTAATGGGGGTAAGAAATTCAAAAGGGGGCTACGAGACACAGAGGTGAAGATGCATTGTTTATTTTTTGGGGGGGGAGGGGGCGTCAAAATGCATCTTCGCCTGTGTAGTCAAAAATCCTAGCACCGGCCCTGAATCAGGTATGCTTGTCAATCAGCCATTTTTTTTTAATTTTGAAAACTTAAAATTCTCTTTGAATTCCCAACTATTTTCACTTTAGCGAATAATCCTGTTAGAATGCACTGGTGGCAAAAGTTTTCCACACATTCCCAACCTGGTATAAACACTAGTTTCTATTTAATTCATGAAATGAGTATGAAGAAGTAAAAAAAAATCTTATCTCTCCCACAGCTTGCAACAGAATGTTAACTATAGTGACCTGCGAGTCTCCAAGATGCTGAGAAACAGGCCAGGATGATATCATCCCTCAGTATATTGTAATTTTCTTTTTCTTTTTTATGTTTCATCAGTTGACAAATTAAAGAAGACTCAGTGCCTTTTTTCCCCACATAAACTTGCCTTTCTCATGAATGAATCCAACGCAATACTGAACCACAGGAGACATGTTTTCTTAGAAGCTCTAGTTTATTAGGAAGCATCTTATTTTATTTATTATAAATAATACAAATAATATCTTCCATCTAATTCTGTGTATTTTATTTTGTTTGTTTGCTATATCATTTCAATCCCAACTGGCTATGTCATTTTCTATTGAAAGTACTGACGTCTTGATATAAATATCTGCATGAACTGGAAATACCAAGAACAATCTATCATATTAATAGACTAAGAAACGTTAAACCATAATAGCCCCCAGTCAGTGTCCATTTTGTGTGAAACAATCTGCTGTGGATTATAGTCACAAGTGGTAAACAATGCATTTGCTTTTCTTTCTCCTTTGTTTACATGTCCTGGGGTCTTCCTCATTGTTTCCGATGCTCTGTTTGCATCCTTTAAAATGTGGACATTCCTTTAGATTAACTTAATTCTGTTCTGAAGCTAAAACACTGGCTCCCTCCAGATAGTGAGCTCATCCCAGCTGTGTCTAGCTGTTCCTTTGATCTTTAAATTGATTAGATAAGATGATAACTGCCAAATGGAGAGATGTAAAGGCCTTGATATCATGTTCCTACCTGTCAGGAAGCATCTGGCATGTGGTGTAAACCCGTCACAGCTCCTTAGGTGTCTCACAGAAAGAACAACTTAACTCATGACACTTAAAGTGTTTTGTTTCTTACTAATGATATCTCAGAAAATGTTAAACCCACTCATTTCAGCCTCAAATTACAGCAAAGCTATGTTTGACACCATGCCTCATGAAGGCAAGGTGAGAGAATACCAATATGTTTTTAGAAATGTGAAACAGCCAGAATAGTCATTAAAACTAAGCTAAAACCAAAAATATATTAATATAAAAGAAAATTCAAAAATTGGCATTTTTTTCTGAAAAGATTGTGAAACACAAAGTGTATGCAGTTCATTAGACTATATTCTAACGCATAAAGTGACACCAAGAAAACTTTAGCTTAATGAAGGAGTTTTGGTATGTAGATTATGCCCTGTAGTCTCACTGCTCAATTCTTTGCCATTTAGGAGTTAAATCACTTTGTTTATACAGCCCTAGTCACACCTCCCTTTATGTGATTTGCAAAGCCTTCCTAAGCACTTCCTGAAAAGTAACCTAGATATTTTAGATTCCTGTATTTCACAGTCTGTTTAATCTAGCATTTCTTCTCTCATGCTCTGGTAATAGCCTCTTAACCCTGCAGCCTCCTGTGCGTGATTAAAGTTCAATTTACAGAGCAGGAGATAAAACGTTATCAAGCAAGTTAAAACGTTACTGTCATCGTCTGGGGACTTTGCAAAACCTTCAAAGATACCTGACAGTGACATCACAGCTGGGGTTTCAGTGGCTGGGTGGGGTCAGGAAAAGGTGAGTTCTACTTACCTGAACCTGTCCCTCGCGGGCATCTTCATCTCCTTCAGGCAGGTCCTCTTCAACTACTGGCGCTTCAGCACCAGTAGCTGACGTCACCGCTGTACTCTCCTGCTTGAATGCATACAGAGCCAATTCCCTGTTATTGTCAGTGCTGATGGCTGGAGGATTGACACCTCTCGGCGGCGGTAGCTCCACCCACTGTCTAGAAGTATCAAGCCTAGTATAAATACATAGTCCCTACTTTGTCTTATATTTTTAGTTAGAAACAGATAAAAATGTAAAAAAAAGATAGACAGTAGGAAATAGATAGAGAAGAGGAAGCAATTGGGAAAATGTAAGAATGGCGTGACAGTGCCACTGTATTATCGGATTGAAAATGAAACCACTTTTTTTTTCTATGCAGGCTTTGTCAATCACAGACAGGGAAGGTGTGACTAGGTCTGCATAAACAGAAGCAAAAGTGATTTAACTCTTAAATGGCAGAGAATTGAGCAGTAAGACTGCGGGGGCATGATCTATACACTAAAGCTGCTTCATTAAGCTAAAGTTGTTTTTATGCCTAAAGTATCTCTTTAAATGTGTGTGATCTTGTGCATAGGTCAGGCATAGGCAACCTTCGGCACTGCAGATGTTTTGGACTACACCTCCCATGATGCTTTGCCAGCATTATGGGCGTAAGAGCATTATGGGGAATGTAGTCCACAACATCTGGAGTGCCGAAGGTTGCCTATCCTTGGCATAGGTTCATAGGTAATATAGGTGATTTAATATTTTTGAATAAGTTTTTCAAATTAATATTTTTGGCTAAACTTTTTAAAAAGTTTTTTCCCAAAATAGTAAAGTATCAAAAAATATAATGATATATTTATAAAAAGTTATTATCAAAATATTACAAAATATTCTTCATGATATTAAATAATTAAAGTTTAGTCAAAAATATTAATCATTTGAAGAGTGTATACAATAATATTAAATCAAGGCCATGTATATAAAATGTATACATTTGGTATCCACATGCATCTTTGCTACAGTCAGTTCGTATTCTTATCTTTCTTCATTTGTATGAAATCACATAGTAGGGAGTTTATTTATTTAAAAGAACACTATATACATAGTTATTTACCAAAATTGCCGGGAATTCAAAATTCATTTCAGATTTCCAAAATAGCTGAACTGGAAGTATTGCAGACTTGTATAAGTTTTCTAATTAAGCAATTTTGCCATTTTATATTAGAAATTCACTTTGAATTACTGTCAATCCCCAGTTTAGTAAATAACCCTGCACAGTGTTAAAAATTAAAAACATTAGAGGTTTTGCCTTGACACATCAGGTAAACTCACACTGTATTGGCCATTGGAGTAATGGTGGGCAAAAATAGTAAATTTTGTTTTTTTATTGTAATTATTGGGAATACTACAGGGACTATAACGGCTACAGTTCTCTATTGTGATTTTTGGCACCAGGAGTACCTTGACACTCTCCTAGGATAAGAAGTCAAACTGTTTGAGATGATTGAATTGAATAGTCAAGACAAGCATTGTGGTCCACAAACGTTAGTCAGTGAAAAGGGAACATTTTTGTATAATATTTGTCTTAACATTTTAACAGTATGTCAACAATGTAAAAATAGAGCAGGAAAGTGGCTTGGTTTAGTCACCAAATGAACATTTCTCTGTACTGTTCCTAGTCCTACCTTGAGCCAAACATCAGATCATAGAAAATAATATAGTTACTGTTATTATGTATATCCGACTAGATCTTTATGCTATTTAGTGGAAAATATGTTTGTCTTTACATCTAATTATCTTTATCAGCCAGGTACCCAGGGCTGGTGCAAGGATTTTTAGCTACACAGGTGAAGATGAAATTTGGTCCCCTTCTATTTTTTCATTACAATGCCTCTCTTGGCAAACCTATTGCCTCTTTTGGATTCCACTACCACCTGTATGCTGATGACACCCAGATATATCTTTCCTCCCCGGACCTCTCTCCTGCCGTCCTGCAACGTGTCACTGCTTGCCTTTCTTCCATCTCTGACTGGATGTCCTCCTGCTTTCTGAAACTCAATCCCTCTAAAACTGAACTCCTTTTCTTTCCTCCTCCTAATACTGATCCTTCTCTTAATACTGATCCTCCTCTCTCGCTCTCCTTTCAAAAGTAAGGTGCTGTGTGGTATGTGTGAATGTATTGAAGATCTCCACAGTCATAAAAGTAAAATGCCGGGTTAAAATTCAGGCTTATTTACTAAAGTGTGAATTATTGTGCATTCAGAGTGAATTACAAAGAATTTAAAATGTTAGTCCCGATAGCCAGATTTTAAAATTAATAATGTTTTCAGTTGGGTTATATTGGCCTAAAAATTTAAATTCACTTTGACTTTAGTTCACAATTTAGTGAAGCTCCACACATTAAATTTGCATGTATTTGTTTTATTTATTTTACTTATACTTGTTTCTGTTTAGGTTTCTTGTGGCCGTGGTCGGGGGCACATCCCTTGTGGTCTGGTGGAGTGAGTTAGAGAACTGAGCACTTTATTGTTTAGTTTTTGCTGTTCTGATTCTAAAAGAGACAGCTCTGATGTATGGGATCAGATATATTCCAACACTGACCACTGAAAGGACCCACAGCACAGAGGAACAATATGAAGCAGGGAGACTGAGAACAGAGTGTTAAGAATGTTCAGATGTCTCTTTCTATCTCTATCTCAGTAGCTCCGGGATTATCTGTACTGACAAACATCATCCGCACACCGAAGACATTACTGCGCCAATCATAAAACGCAATGGAAAATGCGTGAGCTTTGTTCCCTCGCATTCTCTCTGCACTCAAGACCTGCTGGCTGAATGTTCGATGCCCTGATTTATACTTTTATAGTAATAACTAGATGTTTTATTTGTTTATGTATTAACTTTAGCATGACTTATTGTCCCAAAAGGGAATTTTGTACCTTATGACTGCCAAAGAGTGATGAGCAATACAGCATGATGTTTTTTAAATGTATTGCTCACCCCTGTTGGCAGCACAAAGCATATTTTATCTGTTTTCAAATCATTCCCAAGCTTTATGATAGAAAGTTATTAAAATAAATCTGATTTCAGCCAAACTTCCAACTCCGTTAAACGTTATTAAACTTATTTGTTCTGCTTTAAAATGGTGCCTTTATCTATATCCTTTCCTTTCTCCATTCAGAAACTCTTTTACCTGAGAGCATGAAGGTGTTAAATTCAGATGACGGACCAGACAGGGAAAATAGGTCACTCACTTTATGTCATGCAGGACAGACCTGATAATGTTAGTCTAGACTAGACTGGTTAGACTGAGTAATCAATAGGTCCAAACACTGGTTGCTAGACAGGTATTTTGTTTGTGGACAGCCTGCCCACTAAAAGCTGTCCCTTAGACAAATACATTTTTCTTTCCATGTTGATTTCATATTTCCGATGTGGCTATTTTGGAGAAATCTTGATGCAATGAAGTTTTATTGTGCGACTCGTTAAAAATACTTGTTAATATTTACACAAATACATCAAATTTAGACTATGCACCTAAATCAATTTAATATTTAGCATATTAAAGTGGATTGGTAGCAATATTATTATTTGCATTTGTTTTAGGCTTGTGGCTAATGTTATAATTGCTTCAGTTTAGCCATTTTCTGGTAGTTCACATTTAAACATTTTTGTATCTTTTTTCATTTTTGATTTTTTTTTGTTATTTAGCACGTCTGAATGCTGAAGTTATGCTGGACTAACGCTAGCATATAGTGAAACATTACATGATATAACACAGATATCAGTTATAACAAACAATAGATATTTATACAAGAGGAGTTGAACCCGGGGAACTAGAATTATTGGGGGATGGGAAAAGCAAGTTTACACAAGCATGGGCCATGAAAAGGCCATGAGGGCTGATGGTGGAAAAAAAATAATAAGGGACATAGAGAGGGACAAGAAAAAACATGAGAACAGGGACCTTGAGAAAATCAAACTGACAAGCATAATGAGTGTTGGAGAGAACAGTGTAACAATGTGGTTAAGAGTCATCAATGGATGGTAGTATGAAGTGATCTAGGTTGGCAAGATTTTAAATTAGTAATGGACCCCAATATATTAAAATTATATATATATATATATACACACACACACATATAAATCCTGTTCATATGTTCATAGGTATACATCCTCTACCTATACATTCTTGTTTACATTTCTTTGAAGTACTACATGGACATAGGTCACTCAGCACTGCTGTGATATAACACTCAACAGAATTGCTGAGAATTATGAGAGTCATAGAATAGCAACTGGAATGTTACGTCTGATATCACACAGAAAAAAACAAAGAAGGGAAGAATGACTCATATATAAAAACACAAGAGACAAAGCTTTGAATTTAAATCTCTCGGGAAAGTAGAGAGTAACAGAATTAAGAAATAAAAATAAGTATAGCATTGACTAGTAATTAACAGAAACATATTTAATAAAAAATAAACAGATATAAACATACTATTAAGAGCCTTTTCAGAGCTCTGTGTAGATGGTGTGAACTCTTTATGTGTTTTATGATAACACTGCGTTGAAATAGTCTAAAATGATACCTAGAATAAACCCTTTAATTGTGTGTGTGTGTGGGGGGGGGGAGGGGGGGGCATAACTTGCCAGTGTGACTGAACAGACCCCATATCTGATAGCTCCCACAAAACTTGCATAAACAAATAATAATTCACGTCACAAGAGATGTCCAGCTCCAAATTACCCCATATAACTTTCTAATGTCACTCCTGCATTGATAGATGCCTTCCTTTCATACCCCAAAGCTGACAAAGCAGAAATGCATATCTGGTGGATCATACACCGGCAGATTGTCCAGAACGGCAGATCATCTCTTACCTCCCTCAACTGATAACATATCAGCCATGGGGCGCCGTTCACAGAAACCACAATCTGGTGCACTGAGAGCAGAGACATTGGGACTATGCTACAGCGGCAAGTACAGACTAAGGTGGCTGCCATGGAGAGCCCAGATACATCAGCCTTTTTGAACTCACCTCAGCAAATGATTCCATCATTTCAGTCTACCCAACATGTATTTCCTATGCAATTGACAGCTCTAGAGGATCGCATCAGACACAATCATATTAGAATCCGTGGCATACCAACCACAATTTGCTGAAGAACTACCACACTACTTAAGGTGTCTTGTAGCATCTATTTTACCTCCGACTGTAGCTAGGAAAATTAGTATAGATGGTGCATACCGATTACCTATTCTATGAGATGCCATCCTCCACTGCTTTTCCTCACAGGACAAAGATTACATTATGGCTGCACTGTGGGGCAAGACGCTGTTTTTCTTTGAGGACTATCAAATGACTTTTTATCAATACCTTGTTGTTGTCATTGTTTTTGATTTTGTAGCATTATTGTTTTAGAGATTAACTTGTAAGAAGAACATTTTCTGAGGTTGACATAACCAAGTTTTCAGAATCACTGTTTGGTATTATATTCCCACCCGTACGGCCAACTCGCGCTTGCAGGACTTCTCGCGGGCGGCTCCCTTCCTATGGAATAGCCTGCCTCCCTCCATCAGACTCTCCCCTAGTCTTGCATCTTTTAAGAAGTGCCTTAAAACCCATCTCTTTAGGAAAGCTTATGGCCTCCAAGACTAATCCCTACCTCACATACCCGTCTCTTGCCCTCTCCTAAAGGGCAGCCCACCTTATTTGATTGCAAATTCCTGTCCTAATGTGTTTTACACCCCACCTCCTATAGAATGTAAGCTCGATTGAGCAGGGTCCTCTTCAACCTATTGTTCCTGTAAGTTTATTTGTAATTGTCCTATTTATAGTTAAATCCCCTCTCATAATATTGTAAATCGCTACGGAATCTGTTGGCGCTATATAAATAGCAATAATAATAATAATAATAATAATAATTATTGTAATTTATTGTTATAGCTGTAAATTATTTTGGGGATCTTGATACATTAAATAAAAAGTATATTCAATTACACTTCGACAAACTGAACAGAACAACACATTAGGCCGAATTAGAGTTCTGATCTCAAGCTTACTATCTAAAAGATTTCTGCAACACGGAGAAGGAAATATGATTTAAATGTATTCAAGCCTGACTTACTTTGGGGGTATAATTTACTTTTAACGTGTATATTATGTTTGAAGTGTTCAACTTATGAGTCCTAGGCTAAAATACAGAGCAGCATTGACTTGGCCTGGGGGTGCTCAGTTCAGGTTTTCAGGCATCACATTTAAACATTATACTTAGTGATATACAGGAAAGCCTCAGATGCTTTAATTACTGGCTATTTAGATAAGTCTCAAAACCCTGACCTTTCATTGCCCCTCCAAAGACTGAGCTGTTCACACCTGTATTTGGCCATAAAGTAGACTGAAAAAATGAAGGTTCAGATGGACTCTCTAATTTAGGATTTACCTTAGTTCAATTACTTTATATTTTTGGATGCTTTCTGGAATGAATGTATCATCTCTGAGAATAGTGCTGCCATTGTTTATTTTTCGGTACATTTTTATTTAAACTTGTAATGCATGCAGCACTCTCATTGGTCAATACACTAATGTCAATGCATACATTTTCAACACTTTAACGTCTTCTGCTCTGTGGGTTTTAATGCCTATGGTTGGGTCACAAAAGACTGACCTGATATTCTGGCTCTACTGTTACGGTGACAAGACTGCATCTAGTCCAGAATTATATTATATAAAACTTCAATGAATAAAAATAAATGAAAATTTATACTCATTAAGATGTATTAATGCCCCTATTCCCCTTTTCTCCTTTAAAACATGAAAGCTTGGCAGTCGCACAGAGCTAGAAAGTGTAACCTAGAATCACCATCACGTTAACTACTAATCTGGACGCATAGAAGCACTAAAAAAAACAGCAATATCGGACTACATAGTAGTCTAGACACTCTGCACTGACAAGAGCCGGTTTACTTTTGGGATAAGCTACCCCCACCAGGAGCTAATTTAGCTTATCATCTACTTGAGTTTTCTATAGCAGCCTAGAGATGTAGAATCTCTTAGGCAAGACACGGTGCGGGCATGGACCTGCCGTTATGACTGAAAATTATGTCTAAACCGGGTAAACGCACCTTGTATATTGCCATGTCATCTCACCTTCGGCAAATCAACCCATGATGATACCTAGTCTCCCTCAAAAGTTTGGTGCATTGTACATAATCCATGTATGTAAAATTTGCCATGTGATATAATGATGTGTACCTAAATGATGTATACCCATTGTTTGACTATGAATACCCTCTTCCTTTTCTGTACCCAACTTCCACTCTATTGACTCAATAAAAATTGTCAAATTGAATTTTTTAAAAAAAAGTTATATATTTTCCAGAGAAAAAAAAGACTATTTTAGAATATCTTGTGTTGAAAGCCCTGTGGAGGAAAGTAAAAACCAAAATATGACCACCATTATTTGTCACCAATTACAATTATTTATATAGCGCTGACATAATCCACAGTGCTGTGCAGTGGGATACAAGACAAACATTTAATAATAAAGCATGTATGACATACAGGAACAGTCGGTAAAGAAGGTCCTGCTCAAACAAGTTCACAATCTAAAGATAACGACCATCATTTTCTGTGAACGAATGTGCATCTTTTCAAAGGAAAATGTCTGCAATATTAGAAAGTATAAGTAAGGAACTGTGTGCCCATGTATTGAACAACAATGGCTCCCTCTGCATGGTCCGCTGAATACAGTATACAGATTTCTTCTTAACTGACTGAATATTTAATTGATGCAGTGTCGTCCTCTATCTGGTATTTGTATGGTTGTAAACTCCATCGGTAGATTGCATATAATACTGTCACAGCTATTTCGGCACTCATATGAGCAGGAGAACACCATACAGTTAGATAGCAATTCTTCGGAAGATAAGCAGTGAATTGACTAGAACCTAAATCAAAGTAACGAGTCTAGAAACACCCATTTACCTAGCTTAGAGATAATGTCCAAGCCCTGTTTGCATAGGTTACTTATCAAAACTGATAATTATCATTTGTCTCAAGACTAATAATGAAAAAAGACACCATTATTGGTAGGTCAGTAAATCCAAGAAACACTGTTCAAATACACATGTGGGGATATTGTTGTTTTTTGTTTGTTTGTTTGTTTGTTTCTTACTCTATTTCCTCTTGGATTCTATTTTTTATTCCATCTATCCACAGTATAAGCACATATGTCCAAATTTAATAACATATGATAAAATGTACAGCGCTACGGAATGTGATGGCGCTATATAAATAATAAAATAATTAATAATAATACAATCAGTTAATAAAGGGAATTCTTGTCTTCTTGTCCAGAATTGTATAGAGAGGTTGCAGAAAAATTAGCTGGGCAGATTTTCCACTTGAATCCTTATTTTGTGTGGTCCTACTTGGCAGTTTGTAAGAACAAGTAACAAAAAAACAGATCCATTAGCACTGTAGACTTGGTCATAAGAAACAGAAGTATTAACACAGTAGGTGAGGTGTATCCATATTACAGAAATATAACATACAGTAAAATAGCGAATGGAAAATGCTGCTTGTACAACAATCAATAATGTGATCCCCTCATACTCTGCAATTATTAGTTAGAGGTAATTGAACTTTTCAAAGAAAAAATAAATGCAAACTTACTAGACTAATTCAAGATGATGGAACACTGTTGCTAGGACACTTACTATGTTTCCATGAAATCATGATTTCTTAAAAACTCTTCTCTTCCTCTTGTTGGTCCACAAGCCACCTAGCAACAGCTTGTGAGTAAATTAATGAAATCTGTTGTTTAACGTTGATCTTGGAAGGAAGGCGTTTAGTGGTTTCTTAATAATTCCAGTGAGTGACAACTCCCTTGCAACTTTGGAGAACTGTTGCTTCTTTGGAAATTATACTGTTTAAGAAAACATTAAAAATCGCCTATAACTTGTTTTAACTATTTAAAATTGTGATGTTCTGTTTTCTTTTAAATGTACATTACAAATTTAGTTAAATTACATTACAATCTGGTTGAGTCCAGGTACAACCAGGGCACAAGTTGAGCATCTGATCCTCTCCCTATGCTCTCTGCATGCTCTCAGGTGCAAATGCAGTTCCTGTGATTTTCAACATCTAACTTTATTTTTCAAACCTCACAAACACATAATATAGGGCAGCGATAGGCAACCTTCGGCACTACAGATGTTGTGGACTACACCCCCTATAATGCTCTTACACCCAAAATGCTGGCAAAGCATCATGGGAGTTGTAGTCCAAAACATCTGGAGTGCCGAAGGTTTCCTATGCCTGATATAGGGGATAAGATAACATTGCATTAAATATTCCCCTTTAAGTATGGCACAATATAAATTATATAAAAAAATTATTAGAGGTTTTTTGTTTTGTTTTTTACTTCTAGAAGAAAGTGGTATTTACTTCTTACTAACCCCCACCATATATTACATCTTAAATAATTATCCATATATACTGCATAAAAATAAGGATTTTTTCTTCAAATAATTCTGTTCAGAAAATTTTGTGAAACAGAAAATCTCAAGTAATTTGAAAACACTTTATATAGTTTTCATGTGATGTTCCTGCTCTAGCCTTCGCCTTGGACATAAGCTCCTCTAGAAGCTAATAGAGTTAATGCCCACTTTACTCATAGCTTTTAAAACCAAGCCTCAGGTAGTCTTCGTGTAAACTACTCAGAAAGATTTACAAGAAATGATGAACAACTGCAAATTTCCTCCCTTAGGGATTATGTCTTAGTGTGATAGATATTCAGAGCCCTGACTATGCTTAAGGAAAGAATCCTCCTGTAAATATACTTCCACTAGTGTTATTTTAATACTAAATGTTTTTGTTTTAACTTTAAGGATGTAGTTACCTCCTAGCACTGCTCTTCCAGGGTTCCATAAAATTAATTAAAACCAACTCTGTTCCTCACTGTAAATGCTGAAGCTTGTAGAAGGCTTGAGAAGGCTAGGATTTGCAAATGTTCTACAACAATAGATAAAGATGACAAAAACTTTTTTTAAAAGGGAGGGGAAGGGGGGACACTTCAGCATCCCATGTGGAAGTATTCCAGCTTTTAATAAAATGACAAAGTGCAATGCCAGGTGTGTAGATATATTTTAGTAAACTCCATAGCTGGATTTATAAGCTTTAATGGCAAGACCAAAATTTAGGACTTATTTTTTTTCAGGATGAAAAAAAAATTATTAAAGAAAACCCTATATACATTATATTTTGTTTTTAACTGTTCTCAGATAACTGTGGGGATGGCACTAACTAATGCTGGTCATAACCAGTAATGAAAGTTGGGGGAGCTAATGTTAGGGGAGGAGCAGGTGGGCACAGGCACTCTAAAGAACCAAAACGAAAACAAAATGCCTCAGGAGGAAAATTGGGGGAGACAGTCGGGAGGTGAGTACGGCTCCTTTGGGAGCAGCCTTTCCTCAAAGACCTATCTCTTTTAATATTAGCCCACCTAGGATGAAGGCCATCAGGGGAATGACCCCAAAGCATAGTCTACATGGACGGAAGACTGTCTGCTACAGAACTTGAACTCTATGGGCCTTCGAGTCCATGCTGGCCTCCATAAAGGCCTGGGGCAGAAGGGTTGCCTTACTTCACTGATGCTACCTTCAGCAACCTTCAGATATTATCTATATGCTTTCCTAAGCAAGGCATCAGCTGACTGGGGACTGGTCCAATTGGACAACTCTATTGTTCTCATTTAGCCTCTTTCTATTAATAATTGGTGCCATTTTGACCCTCTCAGGCAACTAATGCTCATATTGCTGTGCTGCTTTTCTTTCTTTTATTTATCACATTTGAATTTTTAATTTGTGTAGTGCAGTATTGTCTGGTTCCAGTGGAATATATAGCATCATTAAGCCAGTTAACCTAACTATGTAAGTAAAACTCATACCTTTTTAATAACTTCAGGTCTATCTACACTTATAAATCTCAGAGCTTAGCAATCGATTCAGGCCTAGTCATACACAACACGCCTAACTGTGATTAATTCTTATCTTGCTTCACTGTTGGACATAATAAATTAGCTTGACTAATATTTGTAAAATGTGCAGTCTAAGCTTCACTGTTTGTTTTCTCATGACTTGTTTATCATGTCTTATGCCGCACAACAGTGCAAAATGCTGTCTTGTATTATGCATGCAGAACAAAAATAAAGAATAAAAAAATGCATTTATAAGGACTTCTTAAAGGACCACTATAGGCACCCAGACCACTTCAGCTTAATGAAGTGGTCTGGGTGCCAGGTCCCGCTAGGAAACTGCTATGTTTATAATAGGGTTAATCCAGCCTCTAGTGGCTTTCTCATTGACAGCAGCTAGAGGCGCTTCCACGCTTCTCACTGTGATTTTCATAGTGAGAAGACGCCAGCATCCATAGGAAAGCATTGTGAATGCTTTCCTATGGACTGGCTGAATGCGCGCGCTGCTCCTGCCGCGCATGCGCATTCAGCCAAGGAGGAGGAGAGGAAGAGGAGGAGGAGAGTCCCCCGCCCAGCGCTGGAGAAAGAGGTAAGTTTAACCCCTTCCTCCCCGTACAGCCCTGCGGGGAGGGGGACCCTGAGGGGGGGGGGGCACCCTCAGGGCACTATAGTGCCAGGAAAACGAGTGTATTTTCCTGGCACTATAGTGGTCCTTTAATGTCAGTCATCAGTGAAACTGTGTACCAAAAATAAAGAGGATAAAAGTTTATTTTGTGAGTAAAAAATGTTTAGGGCCACATTTAGCAAGTTAAAATAACGCTCCAAATACCATAACCAAATTCCAGTAGTGCCCTATGGCAAGGGTAAGTAGTCAAACCATTTGCAAATGGTCTGACAACTTACCTGGAGTCTGCTGTGCGCTGGTCACAGCCTTCACGAGAGCCAGAAGCTCACAATTTAAGGTGCATATTAACTACTGGTGGACTGATCCTGTTTCTACCAGTAAAGCTGCTTCAATGATTTCATATTCTCTCTTGTTACCTCTTCATGGTCATAGTCATAAATGTAAGTAGGTGGTTTTAGGTGATAAAGCACAAGATGTAAGGTTCTTCAGCTGCAGATCTTTTGGCAGTGGCTGGATACTAATGCTGACTTAATTCTTTTCTAGGCAGCAGCTAATTAAGCTGTATTTAAACCCTGGGTGTGTTGTTTGTACGAAACGCGTCGATCTGTGTACAACTCTCTGCTGGCTGTTTCCATACCTCTGGTCTATCCCTGGTTTCCGGCATCCTTTTTCACCTGGCCGATTACCGCAGTCTTTTGGGAAGACTCCAACCGC